GGCAAGCAGGCAAGCAGGCAAGCAGGCAGGCAAGCAGGCAGGCAGGCAGGCAGGCAAGCAGGCAAGCAAGCAAGCAAGATCTCCCCCCCACACACACACACTATTTTTCTTTATCTTGTCACCATTGGGCTAGTTAAAAAGTGGCTGATTGAGAGAATATTTGAGAGAACTCTGAATTAGTTAGAAAAAGTTCAAAATGTTAGGATTCTCTCCCTTTCTCTGATGCTCTTAAAGGTACAGTGTCTCTTTTAGGGTCTGGACCTAGCATTCTTCTCCTTCACTCTTGGGATAGAAAGACACACTCTTCACATTCTTTGACAGCTACATGACAGAAACATAGCAGGTAGGAAATCATACAGAACACATGGTTAACTTACGCATTTTACTGCTGCAGAATGTGGTGATCACCACCAGCTTAACTGACTTTAAAAGAGTGCCAGACAAATTCATGGAAGAGAAGGTTGTCATTGGCTTCTAACCTGCCCGCAGGTTCAGAGAAAGCATGCCTCTTAATACAAGCAGTTGAGAAACAACAACAGGACAGGACCGATGGCTTCTATCTTGCTTCTGAGGGCTAAACGACACATGACATTAGAAGCGTAGGCACTGAACCTAATTTTCTTTGTGCTACGAGAAACAGTACGCTGCAACTTTGCACTAATGGCCCTCAATTTCTTTGCATTTATTTCTCAAATACCTTCCCCACTACAAAATTGAGTCAATGGAGGGTTGTCTCATTTAGCCCTCCCAAAGGAAGAACCTGAATGTAAGGAGAGGAGGATATATTTAGGGGAGGTGTTTGGTCTTTGCTAGCAACTACAGTGGAAGCCATTGGTGGCTTGCAGGCTACACATTACCCGCACCTGTTGTCCCAGTACTGCAGAACATCATGTAACTTATGAAAGAAACATTTATACCTGGCACTGATTATACCTCAGCTACTGTACTATAGCTAATTTTGAGAATGATAGTTGATGTGTGCTATGAACAAACTGTCAGAAATATAGCCGACAACTGAAATGATAAAGGCTTAAGAACACAGAGTGAAAAGGAAAAGGGTGGAGGAATTATGCTTTTTAACAGAATGTCCCAAAGAAGGAAGAATAGAGGACAGCTTGAGAGCAGTTCTCATCTACAGCTGCAAAGAAAATGGAGAATATTTCTGCACAGATACTGCTGAAAGTAAAGAACCAATAAAGTCAAGATGCAGAATGCAGAGCCTACAAAAACATAACCCAGGGCAAAATATCAAAATTCTTCATGTTGATGTTGCAGAGGAAGAGAGTATATAGTATATTAACACAAATTCAGAAAAGTCTTTAAAAACATGCTTCAGAGTTAAAAGAGCTTTAATTTCCATTAAGCTTGTAAACAGTCTCAAATTAAAGACAGTGTTTAGGATAGGTATGATGTTTATGTTTTAGAACTGACAATGTAAGGTGCAGCTTTTAAGAAATGGGAAGCTGACACCTGTCTAGCTAAAGGAAAGCTGACTAGAACATTATGTTGGCCTGTAGTTGCTTTAAAGTAGTTGAAGTTCACTGTAATCAGTAGAACTATATAATTTCATTCTGACTATTTCAGAATAGTCGGGTTTCTGTTATAGAAAAACATACTATATTTTTATTTCAAAGAAAAATTGTAAAAAGTTAACAGCAAGTCTCTTATACTTTAAGCTTCTTCCAGCATATCCAGTGAAATTAAATAAAAATGTAGATACATTTTTGTGGCCCCTATAAAAAGTTATTTTTGTTTGTATAATATGCCAGTAACAGACAAGAGTAACAAATACTCTTCCTAGAGCAGCTGGAAGTAGACAGGTAGCTGCTAACATATTACTGTATTTCTGAGGAGACCTGTGTGTAGAATCATAGAGTTATAGCATCATAGAAAAGTGAAGGGACCTACAAGGCCATCAAGTCCAACCCCCTGCTCAATGCAGGAATACAATCAAAGCATATATGCCAGTTGATTATCCAAGTTTTTCTTGAATGCCTCCAGTATTGGAGCACTCACCAACTCCCAAGGTAACTGGTTCCACTGTCGTA